ATGCATCACTCATGTGCTGTCTTCTCACCCTAATAGTCTCAGTGTTAGAACAGTTTGGTTGATGAAGCTGGAATTTAAATGTTTATTGTACAAAATACACAGTTAAAAGATCAAAATCACATATAAATAAAACACCCAATTCACATGAAATTTAAAATATGTTCAAGTTAGAATATTTTTTTGATCAAAAAGTTCAAAATAAATACCTGCACAGATGGAAGTTGGCAGTTTAAAATGTTTTCCTGTTGAAGTAAAACATTTATGTTTCAGGTGGAACCAGATCTCTCTAATTCATTCCAATGGAATGAAAGACCTGAGAAATGGGTCACATAAACAAACGTCAAACTGATATTGTACAGCAGATGCAATGTTGGAAATTCTGCGCCAAATTAAAACATTAGCTGGTTGCTGTGGTCCCAATAAATTACAACTTGGCCGATAGTTTTTTTCCAATGCCACAGTAACACCCCTTACAAAAACAAAGCATCACTAACGATACGACGAACATAAGTTGGTTAATAGTTTTACGTAACCTGTGATACATTGTACCTAACACTATGAAGTCCTAAGGATGCTGAAGGCCATTGCGATACGGTGGTGGATGATTGGGTTTTTCATTTAACATAGCAACATAAATAAATGTTAATTTAATACCTACTCAATCAATCCAACATTTACAGAAACTTCCTAACCTGTTGGTCATTCTAATTGTGTCTGTGTAGTAGTAGTGCTTATATAGCCATGTTGTACTCTTGAGAAACTATAATCAGCATGATATTAGAAATGTTCATAGAACGGAACAGTATAGATTCCCATTCAGGCATGATACAGGGGAGTAACCTAGCTGTTGTATAGGAAACACAAGGGCCAACAGCATTTCCATGAGATACTGGTTAAGGATGTTCCCATATCTAAGTTTGTTAACAGTCTGCACACGAGTAGCTCATGTGTAGTGAACAAGTTTGTTACGTACTGGGAATCCTCCCATTCCTACAAATATATTATGTAAAACTATCCTCGCAATTTGCTTAAACTAAAGTCACAGGTCAACCCGCTTTAAAGATATATCAATCCACAAAACATTCATTTATTGGAAGTCCATGCAAGCAGATTAATTCAATTTTTCTGTATGAGAACTTTTCTACATTTGTCATATTTTCACAAGGGACAGGCTGTCTGGATTTTTGTTAAGGTTTTTAAAAACTCATCAGTCTTCTACATTTAAATATGCTTCCCATTTAATCTCAGTTGAACATCTTATCAATAAAAATGGTGTCTTTAAACACTCCTGTTTCACATTTCCAAAATAAGTAAACATATCCATGAGGGACCGTGAAGCCAAAGACCCATTGTCCGTAGGTTCACGACCCATTGTCCGTAGGTTCACGACCCATTGTTGTTGGTCCCTTATCTGTCAATATATATCACACATTTTCCCTATCGTAAGAATTTGTGACCAAGATTTATTTTTGCATTTTTCTCAATTTTCCATTCAGATGGTAGATGTTATACCCTTTTCGTTTCTTTATTCTGTCATACTTTTAAGTCACAAAGAATTTTCATTTTCATCAATTAAACTCAATTTTGTTCTTAGAAAAATTCAAAACAAAACTGTTTCATGATGTTATATGATTTGTATGTTTCTGTACTTAAATTTTTAAATAAAACAACTTTCAAAAATACAATTTATGCTATCAAATAATCTCAACATCTACCGTTTGATTTTTCTTTAGTCATGACAATATTCGCTTGGCTGATTCTTTTACAGTCCATGTTGTTCACGGAGGAAAAGCTATTTTCATAAATCAGCGTAAGCTTGAGGGATTGGCTGATTTGTGAGACAGGTAGAGCTATTACGACTCAGGTACACATTGTATGATCCCCGCACATTCCAAGCAAGACAACCATAATTATCTCCCTTTTGTAGGACAAAAAATTGTCACAGATATTGTGATGACACATACAAGTGTCTCGCATTCCCTGTATTTTACCAGTACTAGGTGTACAAAGGTAAAATAGCTCCAGAACAGCCACTAAATAGCCAAACTGTTTACACCTCTAGAACTGGCACTAAATAATCAAACTGTTTACACCTCTAGAACTGGCACTAAATAGTCAAACTGTTTACACCTCTAGAACTGGCACTAAATAGTCAGACTGCTTACACCTCTAGAACTGGCACTAAATAGTCAAACTGTTTACACCTCTAGAACTGGCACTAAATAGTCAAACTGTTTACACCTCTAGAACTGGCACTAAATAGTCAAACTGTTTACACCTCTAGAACTGGCACTAAATAGTCAAACTGTTTACACCTCTAGAACTGGCACTAAATAGTCAAACTGTTTACACCTCTAGAACTGGCACTAAATAGTCAAACTGTTTACACCTCTAGAACTGGCACTAAATAGTCAAACTGTTTACACCTCTAGAACTGGCACTAAATAGTCAAACTGTTTACACCTCTAGAACTGGCACTAAATAGTCAAACTGTTTACACCTCTAGAACTGGCACTAAATAGTCAAACTGTTTACACCTCTAGAACTGGCACTAAATAGTCAAACTGTTTACACCTCTAGAACTGGCACTAAATAGTCAAACTGTTTACACCTCTAGAACTGGCACTAAATAGTCAAACTGTTTACACCTCTAGAACTGGCACTAAATAGTCAAACTGTTTACACCTCTAGAACTGGCACTAAATAGTCAAACTGTTTACACCTCTAGAACTGGCACTAAATAGTCAAACTGTTTACACCTCTAGAACTGGCACTAAATAGTCAAACTGTTTACACCTCTAGAACTGGCACTAAATAGTCAAACTGTTTACACCTCTAGAACTGGCACTAAATAGTCAAACTGTTTACACCTCTAGAACTGGCACTAAATAGTCAAACTGTTTACACCTCTAGAACTGGCACTAAATAGTCAAACTGTTTACACCTCTAGAACTGGCACTAAATAGTCAAACTGTTTACACCTCTAGAACTGGCACTAAATAGTCAAACTGTTTACACCTCTAGAACTGGCACTAAATAGTCAAACTGTTTACACCTCTAGAACTGGCACTAAATAGTCAAACTGTTTACACCTCTAGAACTGGCACTAAATAGCCAAACTGTTTACACCTCTAGAACTGGCACTAAATAGCCAACATATTTACAATCTTAATTAATTGTTATTGTCATCCAAAGGAAAGTCTCCACAGTTGATATTCCAGAACAGCCATCATTATAATTTTGAAATCAGAATAACGCACTGATATGGTTTCTAAATGAACCTCAAAGTATCTTTGCTAACAACTTATTGATAAGTTTTCTGATGTAATATACATATGTTTTCTTACTGAACATGCTGTTATGGTTTCTAAGTTCAACTTTCATTGAACATACCTGAACATAATGATAAAGTTTCTTATGTAACAGTCTTAGTTTTAATACAATAATGACACCAGAACATGGTTTTGATACAAAATATTTCTACAGTGAAGAGAATTCCCCGTTAGATATTCCACATAACCAGGTATTTTAGACCTGTTTGATACAAAACACACTGCAAAGATCATAAAGTACAAAAATAAGATAATTCTGCCCCAAGAAAGATTTACAGCCTTTTTTTTGGAATGCTAACTAGCTGACAGTTTTATTTTCAGATTTTTTTGCCCCGTTAGGGATTGGCCTAGAGGCCTCTCACTGGTGGACCCTTACCGTGTCTAGAGCCACAAAATAGGAAGGGGATTATACACCTCCATCTGGTATCTATCACAGAGAATAACTCTCTTTGTCTATAGGTCTCCCCTCCTCTCCATTTTCCTTCCTTTTCCTCCCACTCTCTATGATAAATGACATCATTTGGCACATCCTGACCCAGAACATTTTGTATCCGATTTTCTAAATTCTTAAACTAAGATGGAATTAAATAAAATTTTTACAGTTCTTGGTGCCCAAATAAAAAAAAGAGAAATTCCAGCAAAACTATGTAAACAAATACCAATCCTATGTACCAGTAATATAAGACAGAGAATGACATGTTTGTTTTCAAAGTTGTCTATCTAAATGAATTTGGAAGTCTTAGGAAATGTTTGAAAGAAAATCTTGCACATGGTAAGGACAAGTTCAACAATGTTAAAACCCAAGAAAAATCTATAAACAAACTAGAAACCGGTGGATTTTCTGATAATAAAATATACTAGTTGCTTCAAATGAAGCATGTTACTTATGTAAACAAACAGATATACAACAACATGGGTAAACAGCTTCTACAGAGAAGCACACTTTCTTACTTTGGCACACTCATGGTAAAACCTATTGCAAGTATATTTTTCCAATAAACAACTAGTTCTATGAGCTAATGATAACATAGCATCCTAAACATCTGTACGACAGGAAGGACTTATGCAAGTGTAAACATAAATACATTATGGCAGTCAAAAGCTTTCCAGAGCTCAGTGTGGCATTTGTATATAATACTGCCTCTAAATAAAATTTATCTCATCTTTTAAATAGGTGCGAAATCAAGTTGAGAGAATTATAATGTTGTGGAATTCCTTCATCTATAGGTTTTAAAATACATTCAATTCCAATTATGGGTGTCATTATTTGAACATTTGTTTTGAAATACATAATTCCAATTTTTTGGCTCATTAGTTTCAGATGTGTTTTACAATAATTCCAATTTGCAGGGTTATTATTCGGAGATGTGTTTTTAAATATATGATTCTTATTTTTGGGGTTATTATTTGAAGATGTGTTTTTAAAAAAGTCCAATTTTGGGGTCACTATTTGAAGATGTGTTTTAATATATATGATTCCAATTTGCAGGTTATCATTTAAAGATGTGTTTTAAGATAATTCCAACTATGAGGATCATTTGCTTGATATGTGTTTTATTAATATTTCATAATATGGGTAACCTAGATCCCCCTCCCTGAATGTAAAGATAAAGGTCGACAATGAATGACACGCCTGATAACTGTGTCACTTTCAATGACTTCATCCTCCTAGCCTAGGGGGACTCCTCCCTTTATACTCTCCGCGTTATAGATACGGAGCTCTCCGTACCCACAAAACTCTCCGTACCCACAAAACTCTCCGTACCCAGAAACCTCTCCGTACCCAGAAAGCTCTCCGTACCCAGAAAACTCTCCGTACCCAGAAAACTCTCCGTACCCAGAAAACTCTCCGTACCCAGAAAACTCCCCGTACCCACAAAACTCTCCGTACCCAGAAAACTCTCTGTACCCAGAAAACTCTCCGTACCCACAAAACTCTCGTACCCAGAAAACTCTCTGTACCCACAAAACTCTCCGTACCCAGAAAACTCTCCGTACCCACAAAACTCTCGTACCCAGAAAACTCTCCGTACCCACAAAACTCTCGTACCCAGAAAACTCTCCGTACCCACAAAACTCTCTGTACCCAGAAAACTCTCCGTACCCACAAAACTCTCGTACCCAGAAAACTCTCCGTACCCACAAAACTCTCGTACCCAGAAAACTCTCTGTACCCACAAAACTCTCCGTACCCAGAGAACTCTCTGTACCCAGAAAACTCTCCGTACCCACAAAACTCTCGTACCCAGAAAACTCTCCGTACCCACAAAACTCTCGTACCCAGAAAACTCTCCGTACCCACAAAACTCTCGTACCCAGAAAACTCTCTGTACCCACAAAACTCTCCGTACCCAGAGAACTCTCTGTACCCAGAAAACTCTCCGTACCCACAAAACTCTCGTACCCAGAAAACTCTCTGTACCCACAAAACTCTCCGTACCCAGAGAACTCTCTGTACCCAGAAAACTCTCCGTACCCACAAAACTCTCTGTACCCAGAAAACTCTCCGTACCCACAAAACTCTCTGTACCCAGAAAACTCTCCGTACCCACAAAACTCTCCGTACCCACAAAACTCTCCGTACCCAGAAAGCTCTCCGTACCCAGAAACCTCTCCGTACCCAGAAACCTCCCCGTACCCAGAACCCTCTCCGTACCCAGAAACCTCTCCGTACCCACAAAACTCTCCGTGCCCAGAAAGCTCTCCGTACCCACAAAACTCTCCGTACCCAGAAAACTCTCTGTACCCAGAAAACTCTCCGTACCCACAAAACTCTCTGTACCCAGAAAACTCTCTGTACCCAGAAAATGAAGCTTTAGGACAATGCCTGTAGAAAGACAGCAACAGAAATCCAACAACTTAGCTGTATTTGATGTATTTTTTTCTCTCCTCATTGTCCTTATCAACATTTACATATCCTTACCTTATTTTTGATACAGGACAACGTTTCCAGGGACAGGTGAACATGATGAACACATTAGGCATAAATAAAACATATCCAATTGCAAATTCAACATTTCTTTCCAACACTTTGCCTAGTGAAAAGTTTCCTATTTCAGAGGCGGAACATTATCAGAACACGCAATTACTGTAACCGGATGGTAATTACACAAATTAAAAGAACAAATTCTGTACCAATTGCAATTTGTTTGAACCATAATTGGACTTATCAACAAATCATGGATTAGTAATGGACTCTAACTAGCCAGCAACTAGATACAGGATTCAAGCGTGAAAATCCTTCCGTCATGCATACTGCAGGTTAGACTATAGATCACAAGAGTATCATTGACCCTGAAGACGGGGTGAGATTCCGCACCAACACAATACGGCCTAGGCCGGCCACAGAACTGGTGTATGATAGACTATAATGCTTGTGTATTGTTCAACAGATCATTTAGTACTTATCTGTTCTGATGAGCACAGTCTCGTAATTATAATATCGTTGTACATGTTGAACAATAATGGATATCAGAGAGTTCATAGTCGGGGCAAACATTGGTTAGACCACACACAATGTAGAGCGGACATTTAACGGAATGGTGATGAATGCTTGGTATGTCATCGTGGGGACAGTTCTACAGGAGCCCTGCGTATATTATTGTTTCATATAGGCAGAATAAACTGACCTGATTGTAGAATGCATGAGATCATTGTAGTTTATAAAAACATTAAATAGGATACTGAAAGAAACAAGACAAGAGATTGGGCAGCAGTTGAAATAGGCTGTTGAAAAATTATGTTAAAAAAAAAATTTACAAAATATTTGGATTATTTAATATAAAATAATGTTATAAATAAAAATTGTTTTATTTACAAAACATCTTTTGAAAAGCAATAACAGCTTTACCTCAACATGTTCACACAATAGGTATCTATAGTTCATGTCAACATTTAAAAAGTAGCCAGAATAAGGTTTATTTTTTGTCCCCTCTCCATTTCAGAGCCTCACATTATGGATGTGTAATTATAGAACACTGATACATACCCGCTCATTAAAAACATAAACTTCTCAACAGGTAAGACATTTCAAAGACAAATAAGAACAATGAAAAATGGCAAAAGGTTCTTTTACAGGAACAATAACTATACTGCAAGAAAACAGGGTTGAAATAGAGATAGCATTTCTTACATGTATTAAAAATGCCAAGTGATTCTGTTTCAGCGTTTAAATCCACCACAAGCAATCTGAATTGTTTGTACAGGTGTAACCTGACATTGGTTAATGATTGTTATGGCTTTGTTTTGGAATGTATGTCTGTTGTATACCTTTGATATGAGCAAGTAATGATTTTGTCCCGCAATGGTTTTATATATCGACATTGGATAATTGTACAACAGAAATCAGCAATTGATCTCCTTTTTTTTTTATTTACTCTAGACCCCTAAGCATCAGGATCATTTCTGCCATCATCTTCAACTCCCTCCTGTAAGCATACAACTCCACCCATCTCTCATTGTCATTATCAGCCACTATCATCGTTGTTGTTGTAATCATAATCTTACATACACATCTTTGCCCTGTTTGATCGCTAACGTTATCATCACCCATATACAATTTCACCATCCCTCGTCATTGGTGTTGCCATTGTCACCATCCCTCGTCATTGGTGTTGCCATTGTCGCCATCCCTCGTCATTGGTGTTGCCATTGTCACCATCCCTCGGCATTGGTGTTGCCATTGTCCCCATCCCTCGTCATTGGTGTTGCCATTGTCGCCATCCCTCGTCATTGGTGTTGCCATTGTGACCATCCCTCGTCATTGGTGTTGCCATTGTCACCTTCCCTCGTCATTGGTGTTGCCATTGTCATTGGTGTTGCCATTGTCACCATCCCTCGTCATTGGTGTTGCCATTGTCACCATCCCTTGTCATTGGTGTTGCCATTGTCACCATCCCTCGGCATTGGTGTTGCCATTGTTTCCATCCCTCGTCATTGGTGTTGCCATTGTTACCTTCCCTCGTCATTGGTGTTGCCATTGTCCTTGGTGTTGCCATTGTCACCATCCCTCGTCATCGGTGTTGCCATTGTCACCTTCCCTCGTCATTGGTGTTGCCATTCTCATTGGTGTTGCCATTGTCACCATCCCTCGGCATTGGTGTTGCCATTGTTTCCATCCCTCGTCATTGGTGTTGCCATTGTTACCTTCCCTCGTCATTGGTGTTGCCATTGTCATTGGTGTTGCCATTGTCGCCATCCCTCGTCATTGGTGTTGCATCCCTCGTTATTGGTGTTGCCATTGTCAACATCCCTCGTCATTGGTGTTGCCATTGTCACCTTCCCTCGTCATTGGTGTTGCCATTGTCCTTGGTGTTGCCATTGTCACCATCCCTCGTCATCGGTGTTGCCATTGTCACCTTCCCTCGTCATTGGTGTTGCCATTCTCATTGGTGTTGCCATTGTCACCATCCCTCGGCATTGGTGTTGCCATTGTTTCCATCCCTCGTCATTGGTGTTGCCATTGTTACCTTCCCTCGTCATTGGTGTTGCCATTGTCATTGGTGTTGCCATTGTCACCATCCCTTGTCATTGGTGTTGCCATTGTCACCATCCCTCATCATTGGTGTTGCCATTGTTACCATGCCTCGTCATTGGTGTTGCCATTGTCACCATCCCTCGTCATTGGTGTTGCATCCCTCGTCATTGGTGTTGCCATTGTCAACATCCCTCGTCATGGGTGTTGCCATTGTCACCATCCCTCGTCATTGGTGTTGCCATTGTCACCATGATCCCTCATCATTGGTGTTGCCATTGTCACCATCCTTGATGCCATCGTCGTCATCTTCATCATCCTCTCATTATTATCCACAACATAAAACTTCCTTCCCACACATTTAGATTGTCTTTAATTCTTCAAATTACTAACTTGCTTTTTGTTCTCAATAAATAACGTGTCCAATATTCAGATCTTTTGGAGATGGATTTATGTAAGTCTAGTTTTATTGTCATTTTTCAATCTTTGAAAATGATTTGGTATTTAGCAAAAAAAATATTGTTTCAAGTAAATGGTCCAATGTTTTAAATCTAGACCTAACCCTGAAAACCTATGGAACCTTAAAATGTTTTTATATAGTCATAAAAAACCTCAAAACAGACCAAACCTTTCCAGGTTTCCTCTTGTGTAAAAAACATAATGGCTGATGTTTAAGCAGTTTGTTTAGTATGTTACAAAGCATGGTGTAATTACTACCACAGGATTGTGCCAAATCACCAATTGTGAAAACAGATAGGAGAGGCTTTAGTTGCTGGTAAGTCAGTTTCAAGCTCCAGCAGGTATCTCATTCCCTGCCTTGAGATCCTATAACAGTACAGATGTACGCTGAAATAAACCATGTCAATCAAAACCTAAACTGGGATACCAAATATATACAACACCTAGAAAGATCTGCTTTCTCAATTTAGTGCAATGTACAGTGTCAGCGACAGAGGTAAATCAAGGGCCAAGTGCTGTCATTTACCTCTAGGTGTGTGACAAATCATCAACAGCTGAGGAGAGTGATAGCAGATTGAAGGGACAAAGCTTACAGAAAATTCACAGAAATAGAGAAATATCATAGCAATCGAAACAGGAAGCACCAAGAAACGCCTCTAAACCATGTGGCTTCTCACCATAAAAATATATTTGACACAGAGTGTAAGGGAATGGACAGAATTATGAGGATGCTTCCATCACCGAGTTTGATACAGTAGATTTCGTTTAATATTGCCTCACCTCAACCGTGACCGTGACCTTTCAGCTGTCAAAACATGGAAGTGACCATATTTAAATGTCGAAGTGACATGGTTTCACAAAAAATATTTAGTAAAGATATTTGTAACTAACAAAGGTTTTTCTTTATTAACAGTGAAATAATTGTCATTCAGTTGGGAGGCCTACGGTGCATTATATAGATCGACCCTAGTAATTGTAGGCTATTAGTCTAAAGCATGTAATATTGGTAGATATTTACCTAAATCTTTTAAAACTTTTATATCAGGAATAACTTTGTAAATTCAATACTTCAATCATGCGCTACAGAGTGATGAACTGTGAACGTTTTTAACACAAAGTGTCATTGGATGAAGTGTCATTGGTTCATTGGATGAAGTGATGAAGCGTCATTGGATGAAGTGTCATTGACATTGGATGTGTCATTGACATTGGATGGAGTGTCATTGACATTGGATGAAGTGTCATTGGATGGAGTGTCATTGCATATTTTTATTGACCAATCATTGAGGCCGTGAAATACTGGAAAAGAAACCTAGATGCATACGAGTCTAAACTGTGCTTACAATATTTTTGAACAATAAGGATCTGAATAAAGATTATCAGCTAGCTTAGCACATTGATAATCTGAAATATATACCCATAAAACATTATTAATCATTTAATAGGATATGCATTGTTAACAGGAACGAGTCGTTCTATTTATTGATTATGACATATAGCTGCCCACGGCATGCTGGGCTCCACTTGTAGCAGTGCTAAATTTCCTCTGTTTTTATCGATTTTCCTGATTCAGTCAAAACTTATTAATACTTGGAATGAACTTTGTGTTTGAAAGACTTATGTTTTATTTTATTTTTCACATTTGTATTCATGTATTGCAAACATATCCGCTCGCAAATCAGACTCACACCTGTCAGTGCAGTCTCTGAAATTGAGATTTCTCTGTCATACCCTGGCATCAAGGGAAGGTTCTATTAATGAATATGAAGACAGATAGACTGACTGATGGAGAAACCTATGCATGGAAAGATGGACATATAGAAAAAAATATTTATAAACACAGTTGGAAAGATAAATGCAATGACAAATCAATATGGACAAGTAGATAAGCATTTCATTGGAAAACTCTAGACAGCCAGAAAGATAAAACAGACAGAAAATAATTAAGATACACCAAAACATACAGTCAAAGCCAAATAGACGCAAGAGGAGAAGTTTAATAAGAACTAATCAACGGTAACTATTACCTGAGAAAGACACTAGAATCCCAGCCAAACAACATATGTATGAAAGAGGTTTGGATTGCGACTGAAGTGTGACCAGAGGGAAGGACTCCACAATGATGGAGTAGTGTAAACCTGGAGACTGATATCATTACACAGCGAGTTATGGCCCTATGCAACCCCATGTCACTTCACCCTACCAACAATCACAAGTACCCCACTTCACACAACAACCCTACAGCCCTACTACAAAGTAACGGTACGAGTCACAAGTACCCCACTGGAGATCGACTTGCTGGAGGGCCCGCAGCCTCACAGCTATAAAAGCTTTTTCCTATTTTAAGGCAACAAATCTTATGTTTTGCTATGTTACCTCATCAATTCCCCAAAAATTCCTAAAGCAAATGAGAATTCCACGAACAAAAGACATAATTTTGATGTAAAAGCACAATCAGTGCGTAGTTTAGAAGAAATGAGTTTTTTTTAAATTGCCTCATCAATTTCCTGTGTATCTTCAAAAGATGATGATATTCTTGTTGAACAGAAAACACTGTGATGTTTGGGAGGTACTCCTTATATTGTTTCTCAAAAGTATGATGAATGATGTACTTTCTATTGGATTGGTGGCAGAGCGTCAGTTACCAACAGTGTTATGATATAGGACGGAAATTAGTGCACATGTTCCGCCACCAACAGATGCAGACACACCAGCATTGATGCCAACATCACTTAAGTGCCAGAAGAGATCCCTGCCTTACACTTTGTTTATGTAGGTACAGCCTAATAAACTAGACTCTAAAGGGAATCCAACAATGTGACACTTTATTTGGTCCTGAGGTCATCAATAGAGATCCTTGTCCCTATGTTCTGATGTTCTGATAAAGCTTCCTCTAAGTAGGGATCCGTTCTTTTTACCTAAATTACCTTACTAGTGTTGCCACATCCCAATTTCATGTCTTGAAACAGATTGTTTGGCCACAGTGTCTCTTTCTAGTGATCATGATCCTACAGTAGCCTAACCAAGACAGTGTCCTCTATTGCACAACAAATAATGCCCAAATCTACTAGGACATGGTTCCTTAATCCGTACGGGAAGGTTATTCTTTCAGTAAGTGATTTCCTCAACAGTTAAGTTATCATTACTTTTGCCATTTTATTGTTTTCATTGCTGAACAACTGTAATGACATATAGTTGCAAAATATAAAACTACAGTAAAACCTCTTTATACTGCCATCATTTGCTCAGAGAAAATCTGGCATTGTAAAGAGGTTTGGCAATAAATTGAAGGGAAATACATAAAGAAATTTATAAGAGAAGGAGAAAAAGGGACATTGAAATATGCTGGCAATAAACGAGGTGGCAATGAAAAGAGGGGCATTGTATTGAGATTTTACTTTATTATATGAATACTTGTAGAGTCATATTATTTACTTAAACCCTCATCTAGGTATACTGTCTATATTTACTTAAACCCTCATCTAGGTATACTGTCTATATTTACTTAAACCCTCATCTAGGTATACTGTCTATATTTACTGAAACCCTCATCTAGGTATACTGTCTATATTCACTTAAACCCTCATCTAGGTATACTGTCTATATATATTCACTGAAACAGTGACTATATCCACACATTCCTAACTTCACTGAAACAGTGACTATATCCACACATTCCTAACTTCACTGAAACAGTGACTATATCCACACATTCCTAACTTCACTGAAACAGTGACTATATCCACACATTCCTAACTTCACTGAAACAGTGACTATATCCACACATTCCTAACTTCACTGAAACAGTGACTATATCCACACATTCCTAACTTCACTGAAACAGTGACTATATCCACACATTCCTAACTTCACTGAAACAGTGACTATATCCACACATTCCTAACTTCACTGAAACAGTGACTATATCCACACATTCCTAACTTCACTGAAACAGTGACTATATCCACACATTCCTAACTTCACTGAAACAGTGACTATATCCACACATTCCTAACTTCACTGAAACAGTGACTATATCCACACATTCCTAACTTCACTGAAACAGTGACTATATCCACACATTCCTAACTTCACT